AGAGAGAAACATGGAAAATGAAGGTGTTGATTGACTTGTTATTGTTTATTTGAGGGGGATGTTTTGGTTGATTGATGACGCGATGAAGGATGAATTCGGTAACATTCATTCCATATCATCACCATGCAGATAAAGAAAATCTAGTGAAATGACTCGAATGGGGTCGTTGACAGTCCCTTGAAACAGTTCATAGTTGATATTGCACACATTCATCCAGCGCATCTCGTTCCATTTCACTTTATTCGATGAGATATATAAATTTAGTTTTCTTTCAACTGTTTTCCTTTCCATTTGTTTATCAATTATATGGATTTGTATATTGAACCTGCACGCGGCCGGCATTTCACCATAATTATGCCGTGCAATTTTTTCCGGAAATTATTGCCTCGAAATTCTTGAACGAATTTCTACGTGGGAGACTGTTATTGTTTGGTGATGTTTCTATCTAAACGATACTAGACTCTTATCAATGTTATAAGGTGACTTCGACGTATTCCATCGCATTTACATTTAACTGAATGTAGTTCTAATAAGGTGAGCGATAAATTGAGGTGCAGTGAATATTCTTCGAGTATTGGGTAGTATAGGACTCGTACTGTAACGATAACATATATTTTATAAGTTGACGCAAATCAACCGAGAGTCTGATGATCCTTGAAACTGGATTAGATGGTTACTAAATAAAGATGAATGCTATTATATTGCTGACGCATTGCCGAACGCGTCGAACAAGTGATGAGAGAGTACGTTGAAGGAAATGAGAATTGGACGATGTGCATTACGTAAAATGAGACGACAGGAACGAGAGAAAGACGGAGGGCAATCGTTTTTATGAAAAAAAAGCATACGAGCGGTTAAAACGCATTGAAAAAGAATGAGAATTGATTCAAGCACATCTGAATTCAAGTAATTCTAGGGGACTTACNCAACTAGCATCTTCGTGTTATTTGTTGGAGGAACGTTTTGTGACAACGAATCAGAAGATAAAGTCGATTATACGAAACTTGTTCGATGGGGTTGGTTAATTTAGAATTTGAATACCTTCGTTGACTTGATACATGTCACCAAAATATTCATGAATACAGTAAAAGAGGCTGAATAATAGTTCGATAAGTACTCCTAAATGATTTACGGTGTGTCTATGTAAGCAGTGCTAGTAGTTGTCATACAAGTCTTTATCTCAGTATGTCACTCCAATGAGTAATTACGTTTGTAGCATTCAGAAACAACCATTGTCATTAGTTCCATCGTTTCTGACATTTGATGTCGAATATTTGAGAGAAGAGAACGTTGATATGTGGTAATCGAAATATAAGTATGATACTGAATGCAATAACATCATCAAGTGAGACAGAATGTCGATTGATAATTGCAAATAATTATACCCAAATCAAGACGGATTGTTTCAAGGAGGATTATCGCATCCAGATGAACTTGAATCCTGGCAGAAAACCGGAAGGTATAACTAATTTGTTTATGTCGAAATCATATTATTTTGTTTCATGTGGAAGTTGGATGAAACTCAAAATTGATTGCATATTTCAACTGATTGCGTACGTTCTAGGATCAGTGGATGAAGAAGAGGAACGCACGGTTTGCGATATAAAATGCGATGGAGCCGATCGAGATTCTGTTATATCGAAAGTACCGAATTCAGTTTATGGCTGCGTCCGGTGGTATAATTATAACACGATGAAACGAAGTTAGAATGCGTGGCATCGTTGTTTGAATAATCTAGATTTGCCGATGCTCATTGAATAAATAACGATAAGCACATTACTGATTCGAAACTGATCAAAGATTATCGTTCTAGATGGTCATTGGTATATGTGGCGATCTGGCAAATGCAGAAATTCTAGCGTATCGATGGAAGTACATTGCGGTTTCCCTCAAGATCGTCCTATTGGTGCAGAACATCAAGCACGAGTACGCAAATGAAGAAGCTGTCGACGGATTTGAACAGTTGATTCTTTTGGTGGAACGATTTGCGATTGGATATAAACTGTAATAAAACCTAGAAAACAATCGTCATGTTCAAATGACAAAACATTTTCGTTACCGATTCAGTGCATCAAAGTGAGACTTCATTATTTATACGTTCAACGCAACACAACGAAACATCAAACATTCATTTAACTACGGCATGAAAAAGACACACAACAGTTCATTGACTGAACAGTTTTTTGGGAATATCATCAATTAATTATCATATAACTTCCATTCACTTCTTAAGATAACACTTTGATTACTGCTATCTCATTCCTCATGTTGTTACCATACACTACATTGGATATAACATATAAACGCATCAACCATTTCGACTAGATGAGGAAAATTCTTCTCGAAAAAAAATCCGAACTTTGAAGTTACCACGAGAAATTAATTTATTATTTGATATTAGCTGAGAATAAGAAATTAATACATTAATTCATCTTAAATCTTGAATAGTTGAAAGTCTTGAATGCCTTAACTAAACAAAATATAATAAACTTTGCATCAAATTCGAGAGTACTAATGACCGGAAATCGTCTGTGTAAATATTCGGTATGTCTGTTCTGCTGGAGATCAAATGTTCGGACATGCTGTCAATCATTGTGTCTGCACCCTTATACAAATCGGGATTATTGTCGGATAAATTAGTGAATATTCGCTAAAGAACATATTTTCCAGAGAGAAGTTATCTCACCTCAAGTCGTGTTCTGTAGGCAAATCCAGAAACTTCGATAGTCTTCTGTGAACCAGAATTAAACGTACTAAAGGCCTAAATTTCCCACTTTTTAAAATATTTTAGTGCTAACTATCTTTCAGAATGTTCATCACACATTGAGATATATTTCTTCTGACGATATCTATGCAGAACAAAGTTTCAAGATCATAAAAAAGGAAGTTTACTACAAAATTGCTTGTATAATGTATAATTCTGGACATTTATTATTACTTCATTGATATATTCTGAATGAATATTGTTGTTTGATCGCAATGGGATGGATTTTTGATCTGAGGGAATTAACGGAGAATCGTTCACATACAGATGGGATCCTGATTACAGTTTGTGATGCTCTAATTAACATAACATTCGAATGTGAATAGTTTCATTGATTAATCCAATGTTATCCGATGGAGTTGTCCACGAAACAGGTAAGCAGCATATGCCAACACATCCACTGAATTATTTTGTGAGATCCAATTTCCAAAATTATTTACAATCTAAATTTCATTCATGCATCATCATGCGCAGTTGTTGGTAGGCCTGTGCGTTTTTACTTGTGTTCCCTTTGAATGAAGCAATCGAGGTTCTGACATGATTACATTCCAGGAACCAATAACTTATGAGCAATTTCATATTCTTGGTAATTAGGAACTGAATGTGCTCATAACTGGATGTGTTCGTGATGAATTCGACAAATGACTCTTTTGGAATTGAATTTGTTGAATGATTAATCTCTTAACGACTTTAACGTTCACAATTTTTTATCATGTCTCTTTATAGGATGTGTTCGATCATTCAAATCACCATAAGCACTTGGATTCTTCTGGGTGAGTGATATCGCATAGTTGAGTGACATTATTTAATGATTTAGTGGTAAGATGATGATGATTTTGAATGATATCGATACTGAATAGGTTTTGGTGGGTTTAAGTTTATCATAGTGTTTGAGTTGATGTAGAGCAGTGGTGGTCTTTCGGGGCGTTTGGTAATGCGTTCAGAAGGAGTTCATCGAATCTGTTTAGTTGTACATGAAACTGGTGCACGTGTGATCACAAATAATTCGATCGCAAAATTAAGATGAGTTGTATTTAGAGGGAAAGGTTAGTGGGGAATGCCAAACGCTTAATAGGATATGATGCAGGATTGGTGGGTTGATGATAGAAGTGGTTTGACAAGAGGCATGTTCCCGGTTATTTCTAAGCTTTCAGACATGAAAATTCTAAAACTTTCAGTTATTTGCGGCTGTGACGCACAAAATGCACAAACAATTGCTTCAAGCATTGAACCAAATACAGAATACGGTAAGATACCTTATCTTATTGATCTTCTCACCCGAATTTGATATGAACTGGATCATTTCAGACTGATGCTAATATGTATTTTTGCATCAATCATCATGTAATCGATGCAATTTAATTGTTGCTATAGGATACACTCTCTTTTGGATTCGCAGTATAGTCCTCCACGATCTGTGTAATGCAGTAAAATATTGCTACTATTTCGACAAAATGTTTGAAAATTTTGGTGGCGACTAAGATTCAATAAATACATCATCGAGAACCACAAAAATAGATGACTGAGCAAATATTCAACATTCACTCAAATAATCATCGCAGCAATCAAAAAATATGGCTCGATCCAAATTCAAATCACATTTGCTTTCGTACGACATACCAAGATGAATATGAGAGTAACATGCTCATCATTTTGTCATTAAATGCTATTAACATCAAATAGCAAACGAATAACCTATAATATCTTTGTGATAAATAAATATATCGCATAAGTAACGGATTGACTGACTGACCTTTGATTTTAGCAGTTAAATCGCCAACAAGGAGCACTGTAAGAATTTTGAGTTCCAACTACTGAGAAGATATGCTTAGCGGAATATTCAAACACTCAATGAATGTTTCAGAAGGGTGCGAAGACGTAGCGAAAGGAGGTTGCACGATGGTGTTGAACATGAATATATGTGAGAAGATCAGTGATCGTTCGATCTGTCAGAAAACGTGTGGTTTTTGTGCAGAAGTTGATCAGCGAACAGTAAACAACCGATATGCAATGAGTGATTAATAGCACATTAAATTTGCATAGCAATTTATCAATGTGATGAAGAGATATGATTATTATCATTCA